TTACCATAGCACAATAAAACAATGACGGGATGTATAAATAACGAGCCATGTCAAAAGGTTATTACCAAAAATGGAATAAACAGTAAGGGTTAAAACTGTTCAGACAAATAAAAAGAACACTATAACACGAAATTAAGATGATAAACAACGTAAGTACACATGTACCTAGAATCCATACTTCAAGACCATCATGCATTATTTGTGAAAATGATACTGAATATTCATTAACAAGAACTTGATATCTTCCATGGATCTTTTTAGTGTACTCACAACCATTCACTATTGCAACGAATAACGCAATAAGTTAACAAAATGAGCATAAATTTAGTCTTAGATACATGATGTTTTTCAACAGACTGTCAAAATTCCAATGGGAACCAATTGTGCCCCTCTTCTTGCCGACTTGTTTCTTTATTATTATGAGGCTGACTTCATACAGGAACTTCTTAGGAAGAAAGATAAGAAGTTAGCAATATCCTTTAACTTTACGTTCCGCTATATAGATGATGTTCTCTCACTAAATAATACAAAATTTGGTGACTATGTTCAACGAATCTATCCCATCGAACTAGAGATAAAGGATACTACAGATACAGTTAAGTTTGCCTCATATCTTGACTTACATCTAGAAATTGACAATGAGGGTCGGTTGAAAACAAAACTTTACGACAAAAGAGATGATTTCAGCTTCCCAATTGTGAACTTTCCATTTCTATGTAGCAACATTCCAGCAGCGCCTGCATACGGAGTATATATCTCCCAACTGATACGATATTCCCGGGCTTGTATTTCCTATCATGATTTCCTTGATAGAGGATTGCTGCTCACAATGAAGCTATTAAACCACGAGTTCCAAATGGTGAAGTTGAAATCATCCCTTCGTAAATTTTACGGACGCCATCACGAGTTGGTTGACCGTTATTGAATAACCGTTTCACAGATGATATCGGATATGTTCCTTATGTCGTAACTACAATACCCTTCCCTTTTCACGAATGTGACCTACCGAATTAGACTATTTACTTGATTTGTAATAACATAAGCAACACGATGGGTGCCACGTGTGGAGCAGGATCTGCTTACCCTTCCGGAGCACCTCAGATCACCCCCAGTTTTCGGTGGGGTTCGTGTTGCTTAGTCTTTAGTTTTCTATGTTGTGTCATTTGTACTATTATTTGTCTGTTTGTCTTTTTATTTTTGGCCATGGCGTTGTCAGTTTGTTTTCCATCTATGAGTTTGACTATCCCTCTGGTATCTTTCGTCCCTCTTTTTTATTAGTTGTTATTGGCTTTGAACTAGCTGTCAGTAACTCTGAGTACTCTCAGATTTGTACTTTATTAGTGTCTTTTTTGTGACGTATGTGGGATGTATAAATACCCCGCCACGTCCGGTCTGTGTATTTGTTTTACTTGTTTTTCTGCTTTGTATCATCTAGATCATATAGCCCTTTAAACTTATTTTTATAGTTTGTTCATATGTTGTGCTGTTACACCACTGTCCTAGGTTAAGAGGAGGGTTGGGCGCCCGAAAACTAGTTTAACCCCGCCAAGCTCAGTATGTGCCTGTCCAAGGTCAGGAGCCTGTAATTCAGTGGTTGTCGTTTGTTGCTGTATATCATATTTGTTTTTCGTTTATTGTTTTATACATAAATCAGTTTTTTCGTTTGAATTGTTTTACATTTGTTATTTCGGAGTTTCTTACATCTGACTATGCGGTATGGGTTTTACTCATTGTTGAAGGCTGTACGGTGACCTATAGTTGTTAACTTCTGTGTCATTTGGTCTCTGGTGGAGAGTTGTCCCATTGGCAATCATACCAAATCTTCTTTTTTTATATATAAAATAACAATTTATTTCCCGTCATAGTTCTGTTGAATAAGATAACTTCTTTGTATCTGATTAGTTCTCCCATCAAAATTAAACACTTACCCGAATCTGATGATGACTTGACAAGGTGTTTGTTTAAAATAGTATCCGATGCAACCAACACACTTAAGGTAGTAAGAATAATCGAAACAGAAATACGTCTGGCCATTTTATCCTATCAAACGTAGAAATGAATATGTGGCACTATTTTATATTTTCAGAATAAATAGATATCCTTGCGTGATACGACTAATGCAACAGGTGGTAACAAGGAAGTATTTGTACAGAAACGATATTTTCTGAAGTTCTTGGAATTTTACGAACGCCATTACGAGTTGGTTGACCGCTATCGAATATCTGTTTCACAGATGACAACGGATATGTTCAAATTCTCGTAACCACAATCCTGTCCTCTTTTCCTCGAATGTGACCTACCGAATTAGACTTATCATCGGATTTGTACTTACATGAGCAACACGACGGGTACCACATGTAGAGCAGGACCTGCTAATCCTTTTAGTCTCCTGTTTTTGGCGTGGTTCATGTTGCTCAGTCTTTTGCTTCCTATGTTGTGTTTTGTATACTGTTGTTTGTCTTTTGGTCGTTTTTCGTGTTTTTTCTTGCATGCCATTGTCAGTTATGAGTTTGATTACCCCTTTAATTGTTATTTTTAGTCTCTCTTTTGTTGTTAATAATTACTTCAAGAATAAAAAGATAAACAGAGGTCGCTTTTTAAAAATGAATAAAAGAAGGTCTGGGGAATACGTCATTAAGACAGCAACGCAACGACCAAAATAAACACAAGTGATTTAAAGGGAAACATACAGTCTTCAACCTGCGTCGCACGTTGCTGAATTGAAAACTATGGGACCATGGCATTTCTCTGTAGCTAAGAAACTGAAAACTTAAAAGCCTTTATTGACATTAAGATTGGAAAAAAATGAAAGAAGTTCGTCCCACCAATGTGAACATGGCATTTCCTTGTAGCTAAGAGACAAATTGGGGCGGTTTGTTTTCAGCCTAATAAATAAGAATTCCATCGCATCCACAACATTTATGATTGAAAATTTAAATTTTTATGGTTAATTAACTTATAGATTTATTTATTATTTATAGTTTATAATAAAAGTAAATTGTAGCATAATTTTCTTCGTAGAAACTTTGTTTTAATTTACTATCATTGTTAAATTATCGCCGAATTTGAATTTAAGTACCTAAAGGGATTGAGAACGGTGATTCAGATGCTTTCCACTGGAATCATAGACTTTGTGCTATTTACACTTAGTGGGGAGCGTAGAAATGGAATGATCTTCTCTGTTTACTGTCATCGAGAATAGATATTTGTCTATACAAAACGTCTATCTGACCTTTTAAAAATGCAAACATTAGTATTTCTCCTAAAAGTATCAATAGTTTTCAAAATTTAGGAGATAGATATAAGAAATAGCAGGTGATGGTTTAATTGTAAAAATAAACGATAGTAAATTTGGGTTGAGAAAGTACCCCAGAGGGCGTCATGTAGAGGGCAGTGGGTGTTCGATGGAATTGAAAAAGACAGGCTGAGCAAGAAAAGTTTGGTTTGCCACCGTGGAAAATCGAACTAAACAAACACTACTGAATTTAATTAAAGACAATATAAAACCTGGAACAAACATAGTCAGTGAATATTGGAAAGCATACGAGTGTTTGGATTTAAAAAAAAAACATCAGCATTTAAAGGAAACCATTCAGTAAATTTTGTTGATCAAGAAACAGGAGCACATACGAACAACACTGAAAGCACCTGGTGCATTTTCCCAATTCCGGGGTCCGCCAAAGTAGATTCTGTCCATTTCCCGCAGCTCTATTCTTGAATACACATATGTAGTGACATGATTGACATTTAGCAAGGAATTCCTGTCAAACCGGTGGTTGTGACAATTTGAACTTGTGAGGTGCAAGAGTTTGCTCTATGTTGAATACCTCATTTTAACGTTGAGATGAAGAATACATCAATGAATGCACTGTTCCCATGATTTTGGTTTTGTCCAGTGCGTGTAGAGACTTTTTTTCAGGATATTATACTTCATGTATATTCTTTTCCATTATGCCTATTAATTATTTGGGCATACAAACTTCAAATGGATCTATAAAGTTTATTCTTTTCTAGCTTTTCTAACTTTTGTAGACTCGAACTGATTTAGAGCTTGATGTATTGTTAAAGACCATCTACAGTATATATATTAGCTCTAGGAGAAGGTTTTTTTTTGCGTCAATGGGATACTGTCATTTTATTGTTCATACACCCCATCCTTTTATTCATTCACGTGTATATTAAGAGTTTGTTTCTGGATATTGTAAACATAATGATTTTGAAATAATGACGAGACATATCCTTTCATTGAAATTAAATCATAGAAATTATAATAAACATTTATACGTTTTGTGCCGGATGTATTACTAGATATAATTTATAAATCATAAAATTAATGTTAGTGGATAGATTTATCTTTATTTTTGTTGTTAATAAATTAAACTCTTCGTATCATCATTTCAGCATATTTCAAGGAATACGCAGAACTTTTCCATGTTTCCCATTGTATAAGAGCTTCTCCAGTCAGACCTTTATTATTGTTGGCATATGAAAATGTGAAGCAGGCAGTATCACATGCATTGTACCACCAACCGCTGTTACCCGCTTTTGCACAATTTCCACTCGTATTATCATTGTCTTGGTCGGGTGTTGAGAACTTCCTTCCATTGTGATATGCAAAAGCATCGCCTGGAAAAGATAGATTGAATGAATTCGTTGTTGATGATATTATTTGTGTGATATATTGAGAGCAACTTTGAGCTGAACATGTATAAAAGATAATTGTCTACTGTTTGATCTGAACATGGCAGATATCTTTTCTTGTATTTTGATTTTTTTGGTAATTGTCTCCTTGGCAAATACCTACTTGTTTAAAAAAAATATAAATCAAAATGGTATATTTCTTTAATGGTCTGCTACGAAGATCGGACTTATAAGGTACTGACTAGTAATTTGACGGAATCTGATTCATTGTATATGGTGCAATGTTCTTAAACCTACGTACCAGCATTTCCAGAAAATCCACCGATTGTTAGCTTATATTTCGATCTAGCATCTCCAACCTTGAATGATGAGTATTTGGCATACCTCTTGTCATCTTTAAAATTTTCCATCTCAACCCTCATTTCAGTTTTCCCAATTGAAGTCAGTAAATTGAGGTATTTGTTTCCTAAAAAAAGTGAAATCTTTTTATTACATTCGGTATTCAATTTTAGACAGTTATTACTTAACCATAAGATCAACAGTTAGTATTTAATCACTAAGGGTTAGGCCATCCTGCGTTCGGAAACCTACTTGAGTAATAAATTTCATTCTCTTCCTTTATCGATAATCACTGGCATAACAGTATTTTAAATCACTATTACGATTATCTCTCTCACTTGGTTTATGATTAAATATACGATTTTGTATCTGCATTATAATATTTTCAATCGAAAATCTAGCTCATAACGACGATTCCCACAAAAGAGGACGTACGATGAGAGCAATTTCTTGGCGCTGAAACTTCAAAAATAGTAAAAGTTTTCAATTGTGATTAAAATTATGTTGAAGTTTTATCGATAAGTTAATTGGATTATACGATCTGTACTTTTTTAATGCAGATATGTTAGTTGTGATGAACTTCATAAACATTATGAAATTGACACATTTGACTTAAATGGCAATTTTACCCCTAGTTTCGGTAAAACTCAAAATGAGCCGAAGTATTTCCCATAAAGATATTTTATCAAAATTTACCTCTTTAAATGAGAACTCTTGTAGAAACATATCTGTTTTGGTGTGGCCTTGGTTAATATATTATTGCAAAGCAGTTTTGATTTAAAAGCAATGGTTTGAAGCCCTAGAGTGATTCGGAAAGACATTGATATGCTCATAATTATGAATTAACTATATACAAAACTTTTCGACATAATGAAAATTTTCTACACCAGGAATTGATTACCACAGCTGTATTTGGCAAAACCTTTCGGAATTCTGGGTCCTCAATACTCGTCAACTGATTATGCACGTCTGTTGTACAAAATTGTAAGTTGAGTTTATTACATCGGATGTGACCTTGAGAGGTCATCCGGTGTTATGTTGCCGCAGAAATGTCCTTGCCATTTGACTGATAACTGAACGTATTTCGTATAATTACGCGGATATTATCGAGTTCAAAATAACATTCCTTATGATCGCTTGTTATATATTAATTTCATCAATAAATATTCATGAAAATAATTTTTAAGGGCATAGATAAATGATATGAAAATGTTTTGTCGTGATAAATATATATATATATATCAATAACAAATCATGAATACCGAAAATTTGTGTTACGCATGCGGAAGAATATCTCGAGAACGTTTTGCAACAAAAGCGGGAAAATATGAATGGCTCCTCAAATCCAATCTATTAGAAAAACGAATTATTACAGAAGAGTGTCCACCATGCACTTGCACTGCACTATCATTAGAATAATAGAATAGAATGATATATAAATGGATGAAAATTTGCCTGTAGAGTTATTAAGATGATCTGCAATATATATAACTGGTATACAAATATTAATATAACATATAACAACAAATCAGAGTATACTGATAACAAATGATTATATCACTACAATATAATAATTATTACGGTGAGGTTGAATTCCCTGTCATTTATTCATCATTCACACAAGAACTTGTCTCAGAAAAAAATATATCTATGTACCTCAACCTAACTTTCAGGTATAGAGATATGATTTTTTTCCGAGACAAGTGCATCCACCAGAACTTGCGGTCATCCGATGTTCAGTACTTCAGTACTTTGATTTTTTAAAAGGCGTCATCAAATTCTTCGTAAGAAAACTAAGATGGATATGAAAATCAAAAGTGATGGATTGTGTAAAAACTAATTTTAGAACTTAATTTGCTAAACTTGAAATATGATGATTTAGTACAGAATTATAAGAAATTGATTATTTCATAGCAAATATTAATCTTCGTAAGTGTCATATAATAATCAAAAAGGAAACATTGGGGATTTAACATGGGATATTATGAATATTAAAATATTACCAAAATATATCATAGAAACTGCACTTTATTGCAGTCCTTCATCTTGATCGTTTTTTGAATCTCATCAACGAAAAAACGAAAAGATAACGAAAATACATCAGCCTATTGCATCGTACAAAATGTAATTTTAAAATATTTATCGATATCTGAAGTGTATTGTTCTGTGTTAAAACCGTCGTGTTTCTCATTAATAATGCTCAATTTTGTGAAAAGTAATGTTTGTTTTGAAACAACAAAAACACCCCACATAAAAACGGATAAACATGTTTAATTGCTGGACTTACCTAACCAAAATTCCCGATTTAAGTCTCCAAAACCATTTTCATATCCTATCCAATTTTTATTGAAATTCTCAGAACCATCCATTCGTCTGATAAAAACCTTAAAAAGATAGTGGAATATCCAATTGGATATAAAAGGATGACATGTGAAATAAGAAAAAGATAAAATAAATTGCGAAGATAAACTCAAAAGATTATATGACTGCGCATCTGTAGCGATATTGTAATGTGGTAAATCTTGATGTATGGAATATCATATGTTTTATCCGTTTTTATGTGGGGCTTTTTTGTTGTTTCGAAGTAATATCACTTTTGAATATCGAATCAACATATATATTCATTCAGAGAGAGAGAGAGAGAGAGAGAGAGAGAGAGAGAGAGAGAGAGAGAGAGAGAGGAACTATCATAAAGAAGGAACAGTACAACAGCCACAAACATCCAACATACTGACAGACAACAACGAACACATGGTACTAATAGCGTGATTTGGTACAGGCACACACTTTGGTTGGGTTAAACAATGTTTCTTTTGCACAAATCTACCCTATCCACACATTCAATTATCTTTCTCTATTTTCTTTTATTTTTGCCAAGTATCACTATATAGGAATAGGTATGGTACCGTCTGTGAATATAAGTCTTTTTGAAAGTGGAGGATGTTTATCAATTCGAATTGTCCTCTGTCGGATATTTTGGTGTTTCTACTCCTCTAATCGAGTAATTGTATTATTATTTTTGTAAACACCAAATGCCACACCGAACAGTTCATAACAACAACCATATAAAGTTGGTTTTGTATATTAAGCAGAGATTTACAAAATGTAAACATTTCTTTTTATTAAAAATTGACATTAACTTACAGTCCAGCGTCCTCCATCGGTTGTCATATCACAATAAACCTTGAATGCTCTTCCGGTAGTGAGATATATTTTATATACTCCGCTAGGGTCATAGTTTGGGTCCAAGTCTGCACAGTCCTTCGGCTTACGTACTGTTAATAAAAATATACATGTATAATGAAACTTATGTACATTATATCATTGGTGGTTAGTGTCTAACGTCCAGTGGCAAATATATTACATGCATATCATGTATTTGGTTGGAATTGAGCGAACCCACGACCTTCTCACAAGACAAGTACACTAAAACATTTAAGGAAGAAGAAAAACACGATATGAGGAGAATACATGAATGAAACAGCAACAAAACAACACAAACAACAGGTTACGTCTACCGCATATTTTTGTCCACACAAAATGTCTTATATTTTAAAGACTACCAACGATTTTCCGTTAACGCAAAAATACGCGAATGATACGATCGCTCAATTATACTTAAAACCCGTCAGAGTTATTTACATAAATATTAAGTTTTCAATCCAATACCTTTTTATTATGATAAGATGAATTACAAAGACAAGGAAGGCTATGTGATAACAGGCCATGCATGCTCTATCGTACCCAGAATGAGCTGATAGACATTGTCTTCTTGTTTACTTATCAAAACAGTGGCGACAGTAGAACTCGTGGTGGACACAAGTTTTATCAACAAAAAAATCAATGTATAAAGGAACTCGTTCTTTCCCACACCAATCGCTGAATGGAATACATTACCTTCCAAAGTTGACGAAGCGGGATTACTAGAAAATTTTCGCTCTGTGCTACTTAAAATATTTTAACTATAAGTTCATTGATTCTACTGTATATAGCCTTATGAGAGAAGATTTGTTATTCGCGTGTAACCCCACCAGGTTTCAACGCTCCAATAGGAACCATTATCTTTTTAACTGCTTTAAATTTGTTATATATATAGCACGCCTTTTACGAATTAACGTATTTAATTCCCGAAAAGCGTAGCTTTGAGTGGATTAAATATGTTAATGAGTAAGGCGTAGCTATATATGATTTGTGACATTAATGGGCTATGACACACGTCTAAGGTTAAATGCTGACCAATAAAACTTTACTGTACTTTTCAATATGTCAATCAAAAAGTGGCGTGATACTATATCTGATTTCCAGAAAATTAACACATGCAGCAGATGTCAGTTGGATTTGTATGTGAGATACAGGTACATTTAAATGAATTGTTGCCGTGGGATTCAGGTTCGATAGCCATTTACGTGTTATAGAATATTTTTTCTCCCCAAAAACTCTTGAAAAGGGGGGGGGGATGTGATGCAAAATTTTATTCGATGTTTATCTGCCCTCCAACTCGAAAATGACGTGTAGTTTGAGGAAACATTTTATAATACCTATTATGAAGGTAATTAATACTATTCTTCCATTCCCAAGAACTGGAAAAAGATCGGTTATTTGATTGCAATGGTTGCATGTTGAATGCGTGTAAGATCCAGGGACAAATATTTGAAGCATGATCAATTTACGGAGATAGGCCTTTATAGAATGAAGAAAATTACTAAACATCCAGTGACATATATATTTTTCATTAATTTCGACACGATAAAAACAGGTGTCCAACCAAAATAACAGTAGGAAAATTTATAGTCATTTCTATTACATTTTGTTTTATTCTTTCATTAAGTGGAGGAAATTAAACGACTAAAATTCCAATGACAATTTTTTTGGAATATTTATATCGTCACGATAAAACAAGTGTCAACCAATTTATCAATATCGCTTCTTCGTTTATAGACCACGTTATTCCTTTTTGTAGCTCTCCACGAGCATTCATTTGTTTTAAGTACAATGTATAGGGAACCATTTTTAATTTAGGGTTAGGTTTACAAGTTTGGCTAGTGTTAGGGTAAGCCCCATCACCCCCGCCCCCTTTTCTCGATTTGTGTTTGATATATTGTTGTGTATGCATTTTGTTTACATTTATTAGGACATTTTATGGTCATTGATTTCATAGTTTACTAGGCCAAGGAGGCGGAGCTAGCCGGTGAAATAACAACTTTTAAGATGGAAGTTAAAGCACTGGTCTAAGCTCCTCCCATTTTTTGCTTTTCCAATAACAAGCGACACACGGCGGGACTGGAGAGTGCAATAACTAAAAAATCATTCAGTTAACGCACTCCTCTAAAAATAACCGAAGTTAACTCACTCGAAGATGAAAGGAAAAATTACCATCCATGTTACAAATAAAGTTTTATGAACAGTAAATTAGTGACAGTTTATTAGTTAAAACTTAAACAAAAATACAATATACTGCATAATAAACATTAAAATAAAAGATCGTGTTTACATGAAGAAATTTTCATTAAAAGAATGCCGAGAAATCATTTATCTGTAGCCTTTATTCATTCCGTCAGCAGACGCCATTCTTGAAAAAATGGATAGCTGAAGGAGGTAATGGAAAATGATAAGCATTTTTTTTTATACAAAAAATTTCTACAAAAATTGAAATACGTCAAAACAATTCTCAACGTTTGGATATTCTTTGATATTATTTTTTTAAAATTTAAACTGAATCATGACAAAACGATAATGACAACCGAAACATGTTTTGTGTTTATTTTTTGTTAAATGCTCAAGAAATCATTAAATTATAAGGTCGCTCTTTGTTGACTAATAGACATACAGGTATTATGGTCCTAGTTAATATAAAACATACAGAGATTAAGACGGTTTATATAAAACATACAGAGATTAAGACGGTTTATATAAAACATTCAGAGATTAAGACGGTTTATATAAAACACAGATATTAAGACGGTTTATATAAAACATACAGAGATTATAATAAGACGGTTTATATAAAACATAGAGATTAAGACGGTTTATATAAAACATACAGAGATTAAGACGATATATATAAAACATACAGGGATTAAGACGATGTGTTTATATCATCGTGTTTTGTACACATGTATGTTAAATCATTGTGTTCAAACCTGGAGGCAAAATCCGTCTGTCATCTTTTTTTGCCAAGATATTTAGAACTCGTTCTGCAGTAGCTCCATAGAAGCAAACACCTATTATAATATATAAAGAAAACTAAAAAATCATTTCATATTTGTTACCTTGGTTATTACTGATAGGATATGTATAGAAAACAGAGGTGGATTTAGAGGGGAGGGGCCCGGATCCCCTTTTGGGGCTACATATTACTGCACATATAATGCACTAACTTTTTTCTTGTCCCACTTTAAAAGTTGCCTAGTTTAATGTCCTGGTCCCCCCTTTTTCAAAATCTTTGATCCGCATGAGCAAAGACATTGACCAAAGCAGTATTGATAAAAATATCGAACCCCAATGTAGATTTAAAGAGGGAGGTCCATAAAACCTGACAAAATCATGCGCTGGACTATTTCAACCAACGGAAATTACTGTCATATTCCTGACTTTTTACTGGGTTTTGTCTAAAGAAAAAGTTTGGTTAAACCTGGTTTTATAGCTAGACTAAAAGAAGTTAAAAGACCCCTCGAAAAATGATACTAAGTCGATCAACTTATATATTATTCTTTTAAACATGTTTTGTTTAATTTGTAAATGGAATTCAAACTTTCATTAGGAAAAAACAAGTACTATCTTTAAAACAGATATCTGACGCATTCAAATGTGAGCATAAAGAGTAAAAAAAATTGCACACAATTTGACGACTAAAGCCAGACAATTCTGAAAGTTGAGTATATGCGCTTTTCTGTTAAGAATTAAAATACTTAACTAAATGTATATATCGGTATTTTTCAGATATAAATAAGTACCGAGCTGTGAAATAGACATAAACATAAGATATTAGTAGGTTACAATCTGTAATTTTTAACAAATTTGAAACAGTTTAAAACCCTGAAAAAATGTCAATTATAAGTATTTGTCAAGCACAACTTTAACAATTAGAGATACAACCTATTTTGGCGTGTATATCAAAGACGGACGGACACCAAAGGGAGATGATCTATGATAATACAGATGTTGACAAGTAATAAAATTTGCGATATACGTACTTTGACATTCTTTATTTCAAGTATAATAATTTGTACTCTTTGAGATTATTATTATGCCTTTGTGAAGTTTTAGACTGCACTTGCAAGTAACAAAGTCGATAAGATATATTTATAGCACTCGAACTATATAAAAGCCTTATTGACATGGTAGATAGATCTAATGAACCTGTCAGTGATATTTACCTGCTCATGTATAAAGGCTAGGCCTACAAAATCCAAACAATTTTTTGTCTGTGGTGATGATGACACCTGTTTAACCTGAATTTAGTTTCATTTATTTGGATATTTTCATTTTTTTTAAGTTTGATTTTATGTCCGGTAGTGTTTTCCTTTTATTGTAGCATATATCTTTTATTTTTGTTGGTTTTTGTTCAAATCCGTTATTTCGTCCAATCAGAGTAAAGATTTGTGACATCATGCATGCCGTTGCCATAGTTAAGCGTCCTTAGGTCACAACCCGAAGCAAGTAAAAAACAAATGCTGAGCACTGTGGATACGTACATGTATCTTAAATCTTTAACTTTAAATGTAAAACAAAAAGAGTGATGATTTTCGAATGTTAAATTGAAAACTATTGTCAACCGTTGTATAAACGACATTGTTCTGTCATATTTGTGAAAAGAGTATCATAATATATGACAATATGACATATGGTGTAACATTCTTCTTTTTCTTTGGTTATTACAACCACATGATTCAAAGGATATTCCATGTACATCAAGCCTTGTTTCTATGGACGTAAATGGACGTTATGTTTTTCTTTATATATATTTGGATGGTTAATATTAAAAATCTTGTAAAATGCAATGTAAAATACACAGAAAGAACATTGTAGTCCATTTCCATAATACACTTTGTCCATATATAATAACTTATTGACCTCGTCAAAAATCCAATTGATAAATATTATCCTATTATGGATTTTATACTGACCAGAATCTGATGTAGATGTAACCCTTTTTCTGTTGAAAATAGTATCCGATGCAACCAACACAATGAGGATAATTAGTACAACTAGAACAGAAAGATATGTAGCCATTCTAGCCCCAAACGTAGAACTCTATATGCGATACCATTTT